TCAAGGACCCCCCTCAAAAAAAAAAAAGTGCACTTGAACAGTTCACGAAAGAGGAAATATATTGGGCTAAAAGCACGTGGGAAAATGTTCGACTTCACTAGTAACAAAAGAAATGCAAATTTAAAAAACCCAGATACCATTTTCATTTACAAAACTTGCAAAAGTTAAAAAAAAAAAAAAAAGCCAGAAAGAAAGACTATCCAGTGCGGGCAAGCATGTGGTGCAGCCAGCCCTCCACCCTGCTAGCAGTGACGTGAATCAATGCCACTTTCAGGGAAATGACCTGGTGATACATTACATTCCTGTTCCATTGTCCTAAGAAAATTATCCAAAATAAGTTCAAAGATGTATTCACAAAGATATAGTGTTATTTATGATTAGGAAACTTGGGAACAATTTAGATATGAAAAATGCTGCTATTTAAATAAAAGATATTTAAATGCTGAATAATAAGAGTATTGTTTGTAATGTTCTGGTTAATAAATTACAATATATTCCCACAGTAGAACACTAATACAACTATGGAAAGATGTTCTGTAGTTTCTAGTATGGTAAGAAAAGCTTTCCTTTCAATGTTAAATAAAAAGAAAAATATATATAAAATTGTATATTTGTCAGATCTCACATGTGCTAAAAATAATGTTCAGGGCTGGGTGTGTAGTTCAGTGCCACCCCGCCTGCCTCAAAAGCACAAGATCCTCAGTTCAATCCCCAGTACTGGAAAAAAATAAATAAAATACATAAATAAATAAAGTTCAAAAGCATAGAAAGAAAGAAAGGATAAAATGCTATATACTAGCTCATTAATAGTGAATGGTTGTCCCAGGATAAGGGGATAATTTGTAATTTTTTTTTCTCTTTTTTCTTATTTTCCTGTCATGATAATATAGTATCTTTATAATAAAACTTTTAAGTAAAAAATAATACATGGCAGCCAGGTACAGTGGTGCACACATGTAATCTCAGTCAGGTGTGGTGGTAAATCCTATCACTTTGGGAAGCTGAGACAGGAGGATTGCAAGTTTGAGCCAAACTGGGCAATTTAGTGACTTGGTGAGACTCTGTCTCAAAATACAATTTTTTTAAAAGGCTGAGGACATAACCCACTGTAACCCTCAAACCCAGCACCAAAAAAAGAGAAAGAAAAAGAAAGAAAGAAAGAAAAGAAAAGAAAAAAAGAGGATAAAGATAATTTATTGGTTAATTTAACTGAAAAGTACAGAGACAAAGAATTCAAATGCTGGACAATCAGAACCTCTTTTCCCCAGGAGCTGGAGCTCTAACCACTCATACTGCTACATAATCAGGCAAGGCTGGTCCATCCACCATGATCCTAAGAACAAAGAAAAGCAAACAAAAGGACAAGTTCAAAGATGAAAATCAAAACATGTGTGCACCAGTCATAGGAACATTTTAGGGAGGCTGATATCTTCCTTAGACTGAGACTTAAGAAAACTAAGGAGCCGGGCTGCTCAGTGGTGCCGCCACCTGCCTTGCAAGCACAAGGTCCTGAGTTTGATCCCCCATACAAAAGAAAAAAAAACTGATCAAGGATGTTAATAAAGGCATTTTAAATGTATATTGAAGAGTATGCTGGACATGGTGGCACACATATGTAATCCCAGCACTTGGGTTGCTTAGAAAGGAAATTTGTTGCCAGTTCAAGGCCATGTTGGGCTACATAATGAGTTCAAAGTCAGCCTGAACTACATAGTGAGAACTTGTCTCAAGAAAACAAAACACAACAGTATTTAAAATTGACTGAAATTCCTAGATGATGCAAAGAAAATAACACAATACTGATAGGAATACATGAAGTAGCAGGAGAAAATACAAATGACTTAAAAAAGCTGTTCGCAGAATTAATGACAGAAAACTTCCCAAACAGAGGGGAAGAATTTGACATTCAGATAACTGAGGCATATAGGACCCCAACTAGCTACAATAAAAAAAAAAATCTACACCTAGACATATAATAATCAAGATCCCAGAAACCCAATAGAAGAACAAAATACTACAAGCAGTAAGAGAAAAGAAACAAATCACATATAAAGGAAAGCCCATCAGAATCAAAACAGACTTTTCAACACAAACCCTTGGGCAAGGAGAGCCTGGAATGAGATATTTCAAGTACTAAAAGAGAACAAGCTCCAACCTAGACTGATGTATCCTGCAAAACTCTTTTTCAAAATGGATGAGGAAATAAGACACTTCCACGACAAAGAACACCTGAGAAACTACATGAATACCAAACCAGCACTAC